AAATCACCAAAGCAATTAAGTACAAAGATAACATTGATTTCAAATGAATTTATACTTCAATACTAAACAAGACGGATAGGATACAGAATTACAGAGTACAGATAGATAACACCACTAATTGAGTAAATTATTTTTATAAATATTGAAGCAATTATAAATTATGTTACTGAAAAAAATTCATAAACATTTTGAGCCCTTTGTAAAGGTAAATCAAATGTGTTAAGCATTTTGTGAAGAACAAGTTCAAATAAAATCAATTTAAAAAAAGCATTATTGTTAAACATAATAACTGACTTGACGTTAACTTTTAATATTAAATTTAACTATTAATAATTATACTAATAACTATTAATTTAACTATTTAACTTTAACTCTTAATATTATTTAACATTTTACAGACATTAAAAAATAGTTAAAAAGTAGTTCAATTAATTTTAGTTTAGTTAAGTTAAAAAATGTAATATACAATTACAATTACAACTTAAAGTTATACTTATTATGGTTTAAATATATTATAACACAATATATTATAGTTGTTAGTGTTCAGAATTTTAAAACTTAAATTAATGCATTAGGTAGTAAAAAAGTAGAATTTATAAAAATTAGGTAAACACTGTGTATTTGGAAAGTATTTTATCAACTAGATAACATTTTAAATGTAAGAATTTTATTGTTTTATGCAACTTTTCGCGTATGCAATATATTGTCTTACAGCAAAAACGGATAACATAATATTAAAAACTAAAAGTAATTGCACATTTTCGTAAATTGTAATACAATCTTTTTATCATGTCACCAAGTGCCTTACAATATAAGATTGTTTTGACGTTGGTTCATGTATATTATAACCAACTAAATTGTCGGATGAACGCCTAATATATACAAATATACCTTGGGTAAATGGTAAACCGCTTACCACTTTATGGCCCTATAAACACCAGCGTGAAAACTTAAAACTAATAATTTGCTTTCGAAAGTTTAACTATAGGTTCCTCGTATAAACAAATGCTGAAAGGAGCTTTAAGCGTAAAACCGTATCTAATGCATTTAAGAATTAAGTAAGTATACAATATTTGATGTATAATAATTAAAAAAAGTATTAGCTATATCGTGTATTGTAAATATGAATAAAATATTCAATTTTGATGTTAAATTTCCATAGCAACCGCATTCGGCTGAAGTATTCATGTGACGTCCGGAAATAATCATTAAAACTGTACCACTTAATATTATGAATCTGGAAGCTCAAATTAAAAGTGAACTCAGGGAGGCATGCTTATAGGGGCCCATTTTTTGGTCAGCCTAATATATTTTTAGCTGGTCTTTTATAAAATTATTAGCACACAAATTATTAAAACATTCACAAGTTATTTTAAATCAATATAAATTATAATTAACTTCATATCTGCAGAGCCACAATTCACAACACTTTGGTTCTGTATAATTTTTAAACAATTAATAATTTATAAACTTATAATATACTTGTATAATTATTTTATATAAGATTTCATATTATTTCAGTACCTTTTTTATGCTGGTGTACTTTAATTCTATAATATGGAATTTTAAATTTTCGATAAGAACAGTACTACATTTATTTTTCGTCGGCGGGTAACCAAATATCAACCCCTAGCTGAGACTCTGCAGGTGTTGGTACTTGATCCGAGCTTAATAATCCGACGTATAGTAAATCCACGAACATGGAATCGGTGTCGCAGAATAATATTACATAACCGTGGCGTGTAAGTATGATAAAGTGGAATATCTACAGACTGGAGAGTGTTATGAGTGATGACGTCTGCAGACCAATCAATCCGTGGTCGTACGACCAACTGCACCGAACGTGCGAGAAAAATCATCGACCGGTTGTGACAGAGTGGCGGTACCGGTTGTATATTTGGTGGTGTTGGTGGCGATACTATACGTCCCCGGGGAAGTGATTTCGAGAGAAAGAGAGAGAGAGAGAGAGAAATCCAGACTTTTTCTTCTTGAAATATGAGCTATTTCCGACACATTTTTCAGGGACAGCTGCACCATAGTACATTATATTTTATATATAATATTAAGTGTTGGTGGTATGTATATGTGTATACATAATATATATTTTAGGGCGCGTGTGCAGTGTACAGAAGGGTGTTTACGGCGATCGCAACGGTACAAACCCGCCGCCGAGTCGTCGGGAAAAAATCTTCGACGGTCCTAGAGGGCCGCGGAGGCGGCGGCGGTCGGTCGCTGTGATTTGTCGACTTACGGTCGGAAAGTTTTCCTTAGCGTCGGTAGGGTCCAAAAAAAAAAAAAGTAAAAATTATACGCGGGCCAAAAACGATTTGTCCCCCGGTATACGATACTGCACGTATAGAATAACATAATATACCTATATATATATATATTTACGCGCGACGAATTTTAATCAGATTAAAAGCCGACCGTTTAATTCGGCCGCTGATTTATGTCGGTGGCGGAACAATAGAAAAAGTTTGCTCTCCGCAAAACAAAACGGAAAAAAAGCCAAAAATATAAAAACGCGCTAGTCGCCCCGACAAAGTTGTCCGAGTCGCGCGTTTTCGCTATACAACGTAATAATAACAATATTATAAGTAATTTATTTTCACGTGGACACGCGACGCCGCCGACTCCATGACGACGAGTGCGTATAGCGACGATTTTCCGTCTGCTAGTGAAATGTCTGTATCGTGTGCGGCGAAATTCGTACGACAGGCTCACACGGTAGCTTTAACGGTGGTAATAATATTGATAAAAATTAATAAAATCGGTACACATGTATATTATAATATAATATAGAAGACATCATAATATCGAAAATGTTTATTTCAACGGGACGTCGACGCGTGCCCGGTACCGATTTTGTGTGCGAGTAATTAATGGCGGTACACGAGCGAAAACCGCGGCGCAGTCGTCCGGGCGCCGTTAATGACTTTCGGAGGCCTCATCGTCGATATATATTAAAATGTGTACATATATTACTGTTATTATTGTTGTTGCTATATAATTCTATTGTTTTCGCACGCGCGTGTGTGGACCGGGAGAGCAGGAAACTCGAGATCGTTATAATATTATGCTGCGCTATTATTATTATATTATTATTATTATTATTATTATTAAAATATGACATCGACGGTCGGCGGTCCGGCCGAGACTGCGAGCGCCGTTGTTCATTCATCATACTCTGCCATATACCTACCACCGACGAGGGGCGATCGTGTGTAGTTTTAATAGCGCCACCGCTTATCATTACACACATTATGATGCGAGTAATATACACGGCGTGTCTGGTATACATGTACCACGACGTATTTAAATGTAATATTTCAATCATCAAATCCTGCAGGACATGCGGCATAACCGTGGTACAATGTAAAGGGCGATACTATTGTCTGGGAATCGTATCGATATCATACGAGTAGTTAATATTAATTATTTAAAGGCGATCATTAGTATTTAAAGCTATACAATACTATGTATAACTATTCGTTCGGAGTTATTGGATTTTTATGTATAGGTACTTATTGAATTGTTCACAAAAATATTCTGCTATACCTCCCAATAATATGTACCTAATACATCAGGAGAAAGCGCTGTCCTTCAAAAAAAAAAAAACCTTGAAAAAAATGATAATATTAAAAAATATTATTTTGTTAGGACTTCAAGTTACGTCAAAACAAATATTTCCAAAAACGCTAATACTGCTTAATCGGGAAATTAGTGTGTTTACCTTTAGAAAACTCACCTTGTATACAATTACGAGTGTCGTCACGGTTTTGTCGCCCCTCATTGCGAGGTGTGTGTACCGAATACCGATATGCGATAGGTATTATAATATACGACGTACATCATTTAGGCACTATTACACCTCTACACACGGACTATAAAGCTGGAAACGAGGGCCGTATACGTATGAATAAGCCAAGTGAATCGTCGCAAAAAAAAAATATGAAAAATACCGACCGAGATATACACGACGGCGCGGCGGCGGCATAATAATATTATACACGCGGACTTGGTGTAGTCCCCTCGGAGAACGACGACAAATATTATTTTTTTGACGTTTAACCGTTCAAAGCATATAATATAGGCATATCAGTAAAGTATTGTACGATAGTATTGTTATTGTATAAACGCGTTTACGCGGGGAATAATGATGATTTATTGACGTTCGTGGGTGGTGTCGGGGAAAAAAAAATTGTCTTCTATATAGGTGATATATTCACAATATACGAAACTATTCCGACTTAAACCACTTTAGTTGATACTAATATACGATATAAGTGCATTTTATTATTTCAACTCTGTCCGTTGCCGCGTTATATTATAATCGAAACTCGTTTAAACGATAATACCGCATGCGGAATGTTCCGTCATCAGTTAAATAATCATATCATCATCGTAATACGCCCATTGTGCGGTTACACTGCTTATTTTAGTTTTCTGGCCACATGACAAGATACATTATTATATTAAAATCTGATGATCGAAGAGCAACGGAACGTAACAATATATTATTAATAATACCATATTGATTCCTTACACGTACTTATATATAATCTGAATATAATAGGTATAGTCGGCTGTGTAAATATTACCTTAAGAGGTCATTTATAATTATGATGATTGATTATAAAATTATAATATTTGAAACAGCTCGACACGGAAAAAAAACTTACGGCACACCTAATATAATATTATAATTTATAATAAAATGTTAAACACTATAATATAAGTTTAATATTATTTATTTTGTAGGTGATGTAAAACGGTTCTAAGAATAGATTAAAATTCTGATAGTTTTGTTATCGAGTTAAAGCACTCTCGCTATACCACTGGAATGTTATTGTTTTAAGTACCTAATACGAATAAAACCAATTATCAATAATCCGTGATGTTATGTAAATAGTATTGTGGCGAAAGGTTAACTTTTATTTGAATAAGTAATCAATAAAAATGATATGGCGTTGGTATATGTACAATGAATAATTTTATATTAACAACTATAATTTAATATTTTTTGTGATGTATGAATCATAATAATACGTCATTGTTCAAGAAAATAAAATAAGCCGACAACACTAATTTGTTGTCTAAACTACGGATGTGTTGAACTTAGAAGTTCGAAGTTTCTTATGATTTTTACTTACTCCATTTTTTTCCAATTGATGCATTATTTTTCGATGGGACACGCGGTCAAATTACAAACATATATAACTTCATGATTTTGTGATGGATAATATTTTGGGAACTTGCATTTTACATCGTATATCATATCGACAGTGAGAAGAGTGAGTAGCGCTTAAGTGATCGGACCATTAAAAACAAGTGATTTATGTTCGATAGATACGGAATGAAAATTATGAAAAATGTATGGGTCAACATTTTAGTTTCTTCGATCGCGGTAAGATTACTACGACTGTTCATGATTTTTCAACATTACCTGTAACAAAAATAAAATATTTCATTAGGATATACGTATTACTAAGTAAAATCAAAACTATTTAAAAATTATCTCTATATTTAAATCCTGATTGAAGTTTAAATAATATACAATATTTAATACCCAATTATGAGTGAAAACAATATTAGTTTGGTTTTAGGTACTTAAAAGCCTTAGATAATAATTTTTGAAATATAATATATGGCTCGATAATAAAACTACATATTTTTACCCATTAATTTGTTATCGTTTTAGATAATAAAAACTCATAATTCTAATAGATACGTGTATAAAACATTACTTATATTCATGTTTTCTTTTCCTACACGAAATTGTTATGAGGAAATAAGCACCGTATGGTTGTTTTTCGTGGAACTCAATAGAATAAAAGGTATTTTGAGTAAACGAAATAAAAAATGAACCTAATATTTAATTTAAAAACAATATTTTTGCTTTCATGAAAGTTCAAAGAAAGGAAAAGAAAAGAGGTACAGTTTTTAGAAATTGGTTTCAAAATAGCTACGTTGTAACATAATAATATATATATTATCTTAAAAAGCTTCTTCGACGTTGGTAATCAAAATATTGTTATAGTTTACACAGAAAACATTGAACTAAAACAATTTAAAATTGAGTGAGGTGCACCTACCACAGGAGGTCTCTTACTCACGTGATTCAAAACACATTTTATTGCATAGATTTATACTTTTGAAAATAGTCAGAAAGAACACCGAATAAGAGCATGCAATTCTTGTATTTTCCATATGTACGTGATTTATGAGTTTGAAATGAAATATACCATACCATCAAAATCATGATGTGTAATTTTATACCTAATCAAAATAATTTAGTATGAGATTTATACTATTAAACAGAAGCCACAACATCTAAATAAACGTGATAATTTATCACTGATAAATAATACCGATTATTGGCTTATATGCTAAAGTTAAATATTCGTTTATTTCAATATCATATAATTAATTGAACGGCAATAACACAATACTTAATAATAAATCAAAATTATTTTATGATGCTTGTTGTAGGAGTTTACGCCCACAATGTCTCGTAAAACTATATTGTTTGATATAAATAAACAATGTTATTGGTAACCAGAAGTTTAGTGTACCGCTTAATGTTTAATATGTTAAATAATCTACGATAATACCCATATTTCTAAGATGACTTTTTTATTTATAATAATTTACACATGTACAAACAACTTTATAAGTTTTAACTTTTTATATTAAGAATATCATTAGTGTATCGTACTCGTGTATAATACGAACGATTGTATTCATAAGTATGTACATAATAAATTACATTTTTTAGCAATAAAAAAATGCTGAAATGTCATTACGTACTATTTGAAAGTTCCTATTACTATGTATGTGTACGGATTTTAGATTTTTAGTACTCATTTGTTACGTTTATGAGTAGGTATGTATATTTTTTTTTAATAATAACAACGAAAAAATGTTTGTCCTATTAAACGTACAAATATATTTTGAGATAAGTATAAGTGAAAGTACTTAAGTACATTTGTATAGTCTTGGGTCTTAACTAAATAGTAACTCCTCAGTTTTTTTATTTTTTTTTATCATTTAATATTTTGGTTAGTATTCAGTTGGTACCATGTCATCAGAAATCGTGACGGATAAACAGATGGATATAACATTCATGAATTACTATAAGATATAATATAATAGATACCTTTAGTATAAAATCCTACACAATAATATTTTATAGTACGTATTATGTTGTACTGACATCTGAAGACTGAAAGTATAACAATTATTATTATTGTAATAAATCCATTTGAATTTACTACTAATCGGCTTAAGATCGCTGTAACAACTGTATAAATATTCCAGTGAATAGTAATTAACTACTGATGAAAATGAAAAAACGTACAAACACGTGTGTTTTTTTACTCGCAGCGTTTCAACTTCAACGTGACATAATATCGTGTGTGTGGTAGCTAGGGCTCTTGTGCGTTCTTAGAATTAACGGAATTAGTGTAATTACTTAATTAGATTGGTTATAAAGTATGTAAACAAAGTTATTTTTAATCTAATTTGTTTAACCTTGGCTTTAAATTAAAACGCCGCGGCCATGATTTCAGATTTATACATTGAAGCTAGTACATTATACGATCAGTCAAAGTTTCAATCATTTATTTTTTGAATGTTAATTTATTGGATTAAATCAAATATTTGACGAACCAATCAAAAATCGCAATCTACGGCAAATCGTTTCCAAAAACCTCTTTGTAATAACGGTTAACATACTCTTTTAAACATATATTATAGACGCAGAACTATTATATCTAGGTACATATTAAAAATAATTAATGACTTTCATTTAATGAGTGATTACGTTCTGCCACAATAAATTATTTAATTTTCTAATGTAATTTGTAGTTATTTACAAACGAATCAAACGATAATCATTAGTTCGACCATATATTTAAACTATCGTCTAACACATTTTTGCACCAATACAACATTAAACAAAAAAGGCAACAACTTAATGAATATTAATGAGCTGCACTATATATTGTTATGTAACTGCAGGTAGACAAAAAAGGGTAATTATTTCTATTAAAAACGAGGACTACGGCCATTCCGAATGCCCGATTTATTTCACACATAAAATATTTATAACATTCAATTAATCCATCGAGTTACACATACCAACGTATAGTGCACTTTGAATTGGTTGAAAATCGCACTAATCCGACATGGGTAAGGACGCAACGTATATTATTATTATTATTATTTTTTTTCTGCCACGCAGAAGGTACTCGGACTGCTGCAAAACAGACAAGATGAGAACATATTGCGTCAAGTTTTTTTTCACTCCCATCGCGGTGGGTCCGTTTCGGTTTCCGTTCGACCATGACACCGAACCACAATATGATTATTACAAACCGAACGGCAAAGACACAATAAGGAACGAGATCACTCTTCGGGGTTGATGGGCGGTGCAAATACAGTGCAATAGAGGAAAAAAAAGACATTTCTAAGAGAGTCAAAAAACACACCACTGCTGCAGCAGTTGAGTATACTGCACCAGCCGTCGGTTATAGAAACCCTAACCCTTGATAGCTATATGTATATAAATATACGAATCCATACATATTATAACGTATAGTAGGTATATAGTGTATAATGTATATTATAGTCATCTTGTCGTTGTTGATTGATTACAGTCTCGTTAAAGTTTTTTTTAATTTTCTAAGTGACTATCTGGCTAGCAGAAGAGTATGATAGTTGACTGTAGTTGGGAACACGTGGCCAGCAGACAATCATAGTAATAATAATAATAACCGTAAACATAATAAGTGCCGCCTCCTCGCATGTGACGATAATAATAATAATAATAATCTCGTCAATCGGAAACGACGCGATATGGTGTGGCGGCGGCGGCTGCGGCACCTTTTTGACGAGTTCCCTGCTTTGGAGACATACACACACACACTTCGTACTAGTTTACCCCTTTCCTGTCGTAAAAAAACCCGGTGAAATCATTAAGTTTTTCCACTGCACGCGTTCCAGAGTTAAATAGAAATAATTTACACACACACACACACCTACACATATACCTAATATATACATATACGTACGCACTCTTTCTCTCCTCTCTCTAAAAATATATGGACATAAGGACAGCCGCCGCCGCCGCCGCCGCTGCCGTCGATTGGACAAATTTCATTTTCATGACGAAAATTCAATCCATTATGGAACACGAAATACGATTGTAAAAAAATAAAATATATACCCATTCAGTATAACATATATTATACAACCGATCTGCAGAACATTGCCTTATTTCATTCCGATATTTTGTTTTCATACTATTCCGCCGATGCTTGTTTCTGCCTATAATATAAGACTCCGGCTTACAACAATATTGATATAACCATCTTGTCAAATTGTTCCTTTTTACACACAACAATATAATATAATATATATACATGCAACACGCATACGTCCAAAATACACAATTCAATAAAATTGGCAAACAAATCGCAAACAATATAATATTATAATAATAATATGTAAACTCGATAAACATAATATTATTTGACAAGGTACCGTACATTCAATTCATACCATATTATTGTGAACCTGCCTATGACTCTATGAGTCTTGACAGTCATCATTATCAATTATTATAGCATAACTGCAATAAATAAATATATTAAAGATTAGTTAAAAATATTAGTTTTTCACAAATTCAGCTTATATATATTAGCTAATACTACATTTTCAACATTGTTATGAACAATTGTTGTTCTATGTGTTTCTAAATTCAATATTTTTGATTTGCTGTACATTTTGAATTATAATATAGGTAGATATAATAATAATGCTATTTATCGTATCTCGAAATTCCTATCATTTTTTTTTTTTTGACTTTCTTAATCTAATGTTGGTACATACTTTGTTTTTTTTATATATATATGTTTAAGTGACCATCAAGTGGGGGTCTTTAAAGTAATAATTTTAAAAGACCTTTTGACGTACACCTAAGGGTTCTTGTTACTGGCAGTAATGGATTATTTATGTATTTGTTGTCACTTCTTTTGTTATTCAAATTTCTTGAATAGATTTTGATTTTAAAATTATTGTACCCAAGAAAATATATTATACGAAGACGTTTGTGTAAGGGTACTTTTTACTAAGTTGGCAATAAAAATGATTATGTTTTGAAAAAATATAATAAATCAAAATTATAATTGAAGATATAAAATGTTTCACATACCTTCGTACTTTTATCGTATATTTATTTATTATTTCACAGATTTTTATTTTGTTTTATATTTATATTTCCTTGAAAGTATGAGTAAAATAATAATCGAACACATAAATGAATGAAACATCTAGTTAGCATCAAGGTTTGAGAGGACTTTTAACTAATAATTCTATACACACGAATTACTTTTTTTTGTTATCTTAGATCTAAATCTACTATAATTATAATTTTTTGATTGA